AAAAAAACTTTTTCCGTTTTATCAATTATATAACTGGAATTAAATATGTTAAAAAATGATCCAAAAAAGAAGAAGAAGTTGAAATTGATAAGAAGTGCAATAAGAAAAATACCATTTTTTTAAAAAAAATAATTGGTAAAAAGAAAAATTATACTTCAAAAAAATTCAATAAAATAATTAAAATAAGCATCTTATTATTTTTTTTAAAAATAGTTAATTTAATTAGTTGGGTGACTTTTTAAGTAAAATATCAATAGTTACGTGACTATTTAAATGAACTATTAATAGCTGAGTAACTTTTGAGTTATAAAACAAAGTTGAGTGACTTTCAAATGAATAACTCAAAGTTGAGTGACTTTCTAAGTGAACTATTGAAAGTTGAGTGACCATCTCAAATATTAACTCTAAATAGAAACATAGAAAATTAAAATATTTATGTACATAAGCAGATTAAATAGATATTAACAAAAAATAAACAATGTTTATGGTAATATCTTTGTTCGACTGATTCCTCAAGTTTAATGGGTCATGCAGAATTTTTGATCTAATTTCTGTCCAATTTTCATCACCAGAGTCGTATATTGTTCGATTAGTAATAAAAAGATTTGATCTAATCTGGATCCATATGTATCAAGAAGAAAAATTTGAAACAAAATAAAAATGGAAGGAAAAAGATGAAAATTAATATGACAAACTTTGGGAGAGAGGACGGAGAAGATGAAGTTTGAAACTGATTGGATTGAGAGAGAAATTTTTTGAAAATCAATTTGGGATATTGATTTGTAACTGAAAAGATATTGGAGTGAATTTAGGGACAAAAAAAGGAATGACATAGGAAGTGGTGAACGTGGGATGTAAAAGTGAATTATGTATCTGACAATTTTGATTTTTAAGTGAAATAAGAGATTTAAGTAATTTTTTTAAAAAGTAGGAAAAAATAGATAATAAGGAAATTAAAGTTGTGTATTTAAATTATGTTTCCTTTTCTTTATTTTTTTGATTTCTCACCCAATATCTTAAATTTTTCAATTAAATTCGAATAGCGCTCTGTAGGTCATATTCAGGGGCGACGACGCTTCCAACCAAATTTTCTCCATATACCAGGATTAGTCAGTTTGAGTAAACGCCAACTCAGTCATTTACTGAAGTGAATAGATATACTATCTTATCCTAAAGGCATCCTTCTCATAGGATTATGGAGATGTTCATGGCCATTCAAAAGAAAGAGCGCCAGAACATCTCCTTCCCACTTCTCCCATGGATGCTCTCTTTGTCAATTCATCTCTCTCCCGACTCAAACTCAAACTCTCTTCTCAATTCCCTACCTTCTCTCCCATGCCCCATCAGTCTTATCTCCCACTTAAAAAACTGAATAGTAGTAATAATTTACCACTTGTATTTGCCACGCTTCAGAACCAGCAGCAACAAGCAGCAGCAGTAGCAGAAGAAGGACGAAAAGAATTTGAAGATTACGATGCCGACGAAACGTATGGAGAAGTTAACAAAATCATTGGGAGTCGAGCAATTGAAGGTGGGAAAGGAATGGAGTATTTGATTGAGTGGAAAGATGAGCATGCCCCTACCTGGGTTCCCTCTAATTTCATCGCTCAAGACGTTGTCGCTGAGTACGAAACCCCTTGGTGGAACGCGGCGAAAAAGCCAGACGAATCGGCTCTTCGGCAACTTATCGAAGCTGAGGACGGCAGGGATGTGGATGCTGTTGATGACGATGGACGAACGGCTTTGCTCTTTGTATCGGGACTCGGGTCGGAGCCTTGCGTCAAGCTGCTTGCTGAAGCCGGCGCCGACGTCAATTACCGCGATAGGAGCGGCGGGTTGACGGCTCTGCATATGGCTGCCGGCTATGTGAAGCCTGGGGTCGCTAAGCTGTTAATTGAGCTCGGCGCAGACCCCGAGGTGCAGGATTACAGAGGGCAGACACCGCTGAGCTTAGCGAGGATGGTCTTGAATCAAACACCTAAAGGAAACCCAATGCAATTCGCGAGGAGATTGGGATTAGAGAATGTTATTAGGGTATTGGAGGATGCAATTTTTGAGTATGCACAAGTGGAGGAGATATTGGAGAAGAGAGGGAAAGGTGAAAATGTTGAGTATTTAGTGAAATGGAAGGATGGGGAGGATAATGAATGGGTCAAAGCATGGCTGATATCTGAGGATTTGGTGAGAGATTTTGAGGCTGGATTGGAATATGCAGAGGCAGAGTGCATCTTGGAGAAGAGAGAGGGCGAGGGCGGGAAAGACGAGTACTTGGTTAAATGGACTGATATTGAGGAGGCTACTTGGGAACCCGAAGAAAATGTTGACCCCCTTCTGATAGAAGATTTTGAAAAGGGTCAACAGAAAGTAGTAAGTTGAATT